TGGGCCGCCTCGGCCGCCGGCCACCTGGACGTGGTGCGGAGCCTGCTGCAACGCGGGGCCTCGGTGAACCGCACCACGCGCACCAACTCCACGCCCCTGCGCGCCGCCTGCTTCGACGGCCACCTGGAGGTGGTGCGCTACTTGGTGGGCGAGCACCAGGCCGACCTGGAGGTGGCCAACCGGCACGGGCACACGTGCCTCATGATCTCGTGCTACAAGGGCCACCGCGAGATCGCCCGCTACCTACTGGAGCAGGGCGCCCAGGTGAACCGGCGCAGTGCTAAGGGCAACACGGCCCTGCACGACTGCGCCGAGTCCGGCAGCCTGGAGATCCTGCAGCTGCTGCTGGGCTGCAACGCCCGCATGGAGCGCGACGGCTACGGCATGACCCCGCTACTGGCAGCCAGCGTGACGGGCCACACCAATATCGTGGAGTACCTCATCCAGGAGCAGCCTGGCCAGGAGCAGGCCGCCGGGGGAGAGGCCCGACCAGGGCTGTCCCCAGAAGGTCCCTCCACCAGCCAGGGGTGTGTGCAGCCCCAGGGGGCTCACCACTGCAGCTCTTCCCTGGAGGAACCCCTGAACGGTGAATCTTATGAATGCTGTTGCCCCACCAGCAGGGAAGCCGCCGTGGAAGCCTTGGAATTGCTAGGAGCCACGTATGTGGATAAGAAGCGAGATCTGCTGGGAGCCCTTAAACACTGGCGACGGGCCATGGAGCTGCGCCACCAGGGGGGCGAGTACCTGCCCAAACCTGAACCCCAGCAGCTGGTCCTGGCCTATGACTATTCCAGAGAGGTGAACACCGCAGAGGAATTGGAAGCGCTGATCACTGACCCGGATGAGATGCGCATGCAGGCCCTGTTGATCCGGGAACGCATCCTGGGCCCCTCTCACCCGGACACTTCGTATTATATCCGTTACCGGGGAGCAGTGTATGCTGATTCTGGCAATTTTGAGCGCTGCATCCGCTTGTGGAAGTATGCCCTGGACATGCAGCAGAACAACCTGGAGCCCTTGAGCCCCATGACTGCCAGCAGCTTCCTGTCCTTTGCTGAACTCTTCTCTTACGTGCTGCAGGACCGAGCAGCCAAGGGCAGCCTAGGCACACATATCGGCTTTACAGACCTCATGGGGGTGCTCAGCAAAGGGGTCCGGGAAGTGGAGCGGGCCCTGCAGCTGCCCAAGGAACCTGGGGACTCAGCCCAGTTCACCAAGGCCCTGGCCATCATCCTCCACCTTCTCTACTTGTTGGAGAAAGTGGAGTGCACCCCAAGCCAGGAGCACCTGAAGCACCAGACCGTCTACCGCCTGCTCAAGTGTGCGCCCCGGGGCAAGAACGGTTACACCCCCTTGCACATGGCTGTGGACAAGGAGACCACAAATGTGGGTCGCTACCCGGTGGGCAGATTCCCCTCCCTGCACGTGGTCAAAGTGCTGCTGGACTGTGGGGCCGACCCAGACAGCAGGGACTTCGACAACAACACCCCCCTGCACGTCGCAGCCCAGAACAGCTGCCCGGCCGTCATGGACGTCCTCATCGCAGCCGGGGCCCACATGGACGCCACCAACGCCTTCAAGAAGACAGCCTATGAGCTGCTGGACGAGAAGCTGCTGGCCAAGAGCAGCATGCTGCCCTTCAACTATGTGACCCTGCAGTGCCTTGCTGCCCGGGCCCTGGACAAGAACAAGATCCCCTACAAGGGCTTCATCCCAGAAGAGCTGGAGGCTTTCATCGAACTGCACTGACCTGCTTAGGGCGTTGTACCCTCATCTCTCCCCCCGTGTTCTCAGAAGGGAGAGGTGGGGAAGGTGTGAGCAGATGCCCGCCCTTGCCTTCTCTAAACGGGCACCAAACAGGAGAAGGGCTCTTCCACCTCCCGTCCCCTTCACCTGCAGACAGGGAAGACGGTGTCAGCAAGCTGTTGGTGCTAGAAGCCTTCAGATCCTGTGCTAGGAGGACTGTTTGTCTCCAGGAGCGCACCCACCCATCCTGAGTTGGGAAAAGATGCAAGATCTTCCCTGCATCCCCTCCGCCTAGGTTCAGAGGCCTTTGCCTTCTTGCCCAGAGGCAGAGGGACTACCCGCCTTCCCTGCTGGAAACAGGAAGAGGTGGAGGGTCAGTCCACCCTTCCTTGCCCCTTATGTGGCCGAGTGCACCCAGCTGCTGCATACAGTGTTAGGACGGGGGGCTCCCAAGGTTGCAAGTTCAAAAGTCAAGAAGCAAGAACACCTCTCATTTCTTCCAGCACACCACAGTCATGGGCATGCACGTGGGCAGGGCTGTGCCCAGGGCAGCCTGCCACTTACTTAGCTTTCAGTTGGTTTGATGTTCTGTTTATTTCATAAGTGGGCAGGTTACAAGCTCTGCACAGAGGTTCTGAGATTTTGCTGCCAGTTTTTGGGGTTTTTTTTGGTTTTTCTTTTTTAAGGAAATTTGCTTGTCAGACTCTGTAAGTTAATTTCATGCAGTGAGCATTTCAGGGTGTCTGAGATGCCCGAGACTGTCAGGGAGTGAGCTTCGTTGTGTGAAGAATCTGGCAAGCAAGGTAAACG